TCAGTGTAAATTCTAGATCTAGACTTAATGTAAATTCTACATCTAGAATCTATTTCAGGCCTTAATACATCTAGAATCTATTTCAGGCCTTAATTATTTTATATAAATCTTTGTTTGGCTAATTTAAGATTAAATTTAATTTGAAAGTTACTACTACTAGATCTATGCGCGGAGACTCAAAAGTATAGTATAAAAATTCATTTGTGACGTCACGAGTAAATAGCTAAGTTGGTAGCGTAGCCCGCTCTCATGTGGGTGGCACAGGTTCTAGACCAATATGTCAATGATATTTTTTTTTCAATATTTTTTTTTTTAGATGTGAATGATAAAGTTGCCTATCTGAACTTGGCAGGATACAGGGCAGGTGAAGTAGAGTTCATCTGTTTCTTTGTCCTAAGCATATGAAAGGATAGTGTGGTCAGAGACATGCTCGGCTGGAATCGTTTTTTAAACGATAAAAACAAGTTGTCTGAGACTTGGCGGGACACTGGGCAGGTGAAGTAGAGTTGAGTAGGTCACATGTGACGTCAGTATATGAAGGGATAGTCCGAAATCGGTGTTTTCGGTGTTTTTAAAAGATAAAAAACATATTTTTGAATGTGGGGTCTGTTTTTTGTGACGATAAGTGACACTGCAGTAGCGTAGCGAGGAAAGGGGGGCGGGAGGGGAGGCGGGGGGGGGGGGGGGGGGGAAAGGGGAGGCGGGGGGGAAGGGGAGGTGGAGGGGGGAAGGGGGGGGGGGGGCGGGGGGGAAGGGCAGGCGGGGGGAGGTGGAGGGGGGAAGGGGGGGCGGGGGGACATATGTTGGGGCGCCAAAATGGTTTGGAAAAATAAATTGAAAGGTTGAGGGGGGTTCAAATCGAAAGTTTGAGTGGGGGGGGGGGTGCACATCAAAAGTTTGAGGGGGGGGGGGGTTGAAAATCGAAGAGTTTGTCCCCGGGCGCCGAGAAGGGTCGCTATGCCTCTGAGTGACAGACGTGATGTTTTTTGATGGATGACCCCCGAAACCCACAGTTATCCAACGGATGACGGGTATTCTAGTAATATCTAAAGATCTAGAGATCAGCTATCAGACGCAGAAAAAGTCTATCCTAGATATAAATTCTAAAATCTTGGTAAAACCAAAATTAAATAGTTGAAAATAAAAACCATTATAAAATCACAATAAATTATTGAGTTTCTTTATTAAACTATGTTAGTCCTTAAATATTTGATATAAATCTTTGCTTTTTAGCTTCATGAATCATCTAATTTGAGAATATATGGGTTCAGAGTTCAAGTTCTAGAAACTAAAGTAGAGATACAGAAAAAGTAAAACTAGACTTAACATAACTTCTACATCTAGGCTTAACGTATTTTCTACATCTAGAATCTCTATCTAGATATTCTAAACTATTTCAGGCCTTAATTATTTTATATAAATCTTTGTTGGCTAATTTGGGGTAATATTTAATTTTAAATAATTCTATGGCCTATTCGCGTAAATGAAGTTTCTCACACAGACTATAAGTAAAATATAAAAATAAATATACGACTGATCTTATGAGCCTAGATAGCTAAGATGTTAGTGTAATATGTTACAATTCGGGTGGCAAGGGTTCAAGATACATCGTGTCAATGCTACATTTTTTTCATTTTTTTTTTAGATTTGAATGATAAAGTTGCCAATCGCAACTTGGCGGGATGTAGGGCAGGGAAGTAGAGTTTATCTGTTTCTGTGTCATCAGTGTATGAATGGATAGTGTGGTCAGAGCCATGCTCTGCCGAAATGTTTTTTTAAATGATAAAAACATGTTGTCTGAGACTTGGCGGGACACTGGGCAGATGAAGTAGAGTTCACCTGTTTCTGTGTCCTCAGCGTATGAAGGGATAGTGTGGTCAGAACCATGCTAGGCCGAAATCTTTTTTTAAACGATAAAATCGTGTTGTATGAGACTTGGCTGGACACTGGGCAGGTGAAGTAGAGTTGGGTAGGTGTAGAGTTCACCTATGACGTCATATGAAGGGGTCATATGGTCTGACCCATGCTCAACCAAAATCGGAGTTTTAAAAGACAAAAACATGTCTCAGTTGGGAGGACAGTGGGCAAAAACGTCTGATGTCTTATGTCTTTTTGAATGTGTGGGTCTGTTTATTTTGTAACGATCAGTGACACACGTGATGTCATTAATGGATGACCCCTGAAACCCACAGTTAAAAATAAAAACCATTATAAAATTACAATAAATTATTGAGTTTCTTTATTAAAGTATTTTAGTCCTTAAATATTTGATATTAATCTTTGCTTTCTAGCTTCAATGATCATCTAATTCAAGAATACCAGAGATTTATCTATACTATTTACATCTAGGTTCTAGATCTAGATCTAGATTATATTTAGAATGTAGAACTACGGAAAGACTTGACTAGACTTAGGGGTAATCCATAAATGACGTCACGAATTTTTTGACGATTTTTACCTCCCCCCTCCACTCTGTCACACGTCGTCATAAAAAGTTAGACCCCCCCCCCATAAAATGACGTCATACCTCCGCCTACAACCCCCCCCCCCCCCACCCACCTCAAAATTGCAGTTGAACATTTTTTTTAAACATAGATATTTTCCAAAATCTTGACTGAAATCTGTCAAAGAGTATTTATATCAATACCTATTACAATTTATTAAAACTGTTTTCTAAAAACCAAAATAACGTCTAAAATTCGTTTTCTAACATTTCTTTCGCACCATCTGAACCCCCCCCCCCCCCCCCCCCACACACACCTCATCAGACATCGTCACAAATTACCGATTCCCCCTCCCCCTTCGAGTGTGACGTCATTTATGGACGACCCCTCAAACAAACCAGTCGTAGAATCTAGATAACTGTACCTAGATCTAGATAATAATGAGTTTCTAAATTAAACTATTTCAGACCTTAGTTATTTTATATAAATCTTTGTTTGTTTAGCTACGGAATAGACTCATTTGGGGTACAATTTAAATTTGAAATAATACTAGGACCTACTCGCATAAATCAAGTATCTTTAGCAGAATCAAGGTACGATATATACAAAGTATAATATAGACTAAAAAAACTTCTCAGAAAGTTAGAGCCTAGATAGCTAATGTGTTAATGAAATAGATATCCATATGGGTGGCACGGGTTCGGGACAAGTTGTATTTTTTTAAATTTTTACTTTCTCGTATATACGAAGTATAGAGAAAGCCTTGCAATCGTGCCAAGAAAAATCTAGATTTTTACAAATCTCGACGTTTAACACCTCACTGATACGGAAAAACATAATTTTGCAATCTTGTCCGTATATCTCTCTCTCTGTGTGTGTGTGTGTGTGTGTAAACACGATAACTTGAGTACCGTTATAGCTAGGTTGATGAAATTACATTGATAAGCATTATATCAAAATCGTAGATCCGTATCAACTTTTGAGAGATTTCATTTAACCGGAAGTGGTACTTTTTCTACTTTGAATTTTTCAAAAGCCTATAACTTGAGTACTATTTTAGATGGATAAATGAAATTTCACATGTAAGTAAAAGATCTGATTCTCTACCTTCTGTCAAATTTCCGTGACCGAAAGTAATAATTTTCGCTATTTCCGATTTCTCAAAAAACGCATGTGAATTTATAAAGTACTAATAATATTCCGCACTATTTTACACATTTTATATCACGTTCGCTTGGTGTGCAATTCTTTTTCCTATGAGATTTTATTCTATTCTAAAAAGTTTAAGCATTTAAAATGGATTAAAAGTCATGTCTATATCCCTAGTTGCCATTCCCTGTTGTTTCAAATAAGAATATTCGAGAAAGTTTAGGGGAGATCACTCCCGGTTTATTTTTTTTTTAGATTGAATGGTAAAGTTGCCTTCGGTACTTGGCGGAATACAGGGCATGGGAAAAAAAGTGCACCTGGTTCTTTGTACTCAGCATATAAAGGGATAGCGTGGTCAGAAATCTTTTTTTTAAACGATAAAAACATTTTGTCTGAGACTTGGTTGATGTAGTTGATGTGGTTGATTAAAGCAAACAGTAAGCTTTTAGGTAAACGCCTGGACACGTCACACAGTGACGCCCACAGTGACACCCCACAGTGACGCCTCAAAGTGGCGCCCCACAATGAAATACCCATTACGGTATCTAGTCGGATGTGTGAGGTGTCATCTGCTGTCATCGTTGATTGCTCAACAAAATCGACCTAATCTACAATTTTTTAACAGGTACAATGACCAGACACACTGACTATAAAGTTTGAGAAAAGTACACACATTTAAATAATGTACTAGTATAATTATCGTACACACTGTTCATGTATAAAGTAAAGCTATCGACTAAGGCTGTTGTAAATTATTACAAAATAAAAACTTATTCATGGTAACATAGAAGCATGCGGTCGCTAATTTTAAAAAGTTGAACGAAAATGTTAAAATCACAATAACTTTAAAAGTTGAACAAAAATGTTAAAATCCCAATAGTTTTAAAATGATGAACAAAATGTTAAAATCACAATAACTTTAAAAGTTGAACAAAAATGTTAAAATCCCAATAGTTTTAAAATGATGAACAAAATGTTAAAATCACAATAATTTTAAAAAGTTGAACAAAAATGTTAAAATCACAATAATTTTAAAATGTTGAACAATAAAGTTAAAATCCCAATAATTTTAAAATGTCGAACAAAAAATGTTAAAATCCCAATATTCCTATACGTTTAATAGTACAAACATTAGAATTCTTCAACATAGACAAAAATTGCTTTTTTTAAAAGAATAGAATAAGAAACATCTAAACAAAAACTGGGATATATATTTATATAATATCTTATTTTGAAGTTTAGTTGATTAAAATATTATTATATTGATATACACAGTATTTAACTTAATTTTTTTTAATTCATAGTTAATTTCAATTGGAATACATATTGCAATTTGAAATAAATATCTTCACTAACAAATCTATACATAGTATAACATTTTTCAACTCATATTATTTACGTTTCCCATAAAACATTAGACCTCAAACTACGTTGCTGGTGGTGGATTAAGTTCTAACGTTTGGAAGTAGACTAAAACCCAAGCAGAATCTACAGCGATGGTGTATTTCCTTTAAGACCTGTTTAGTTTGATTTCTAATTTGTTTTCAGCTATAAAACGTTTGCGATTGTCCAGACCTCTGTCGTACCTCTCTCGTGTGTACTTCAACATTTGTGTTGACCAGTTGAACAGCTTCGAAAACTGCTTTCGGTTTGTGACCTGGTTTTGACCGGAATATTCCAGAAGGACGCACCTGTATCGACACTCTTTAAAAATCATACCAATGTCATCTTTTTGAATCTTACACCACTCCTCGAAATTAAAAGTGGCATTCATATCTTTCGATGCAGGTTTGAGCACTAGGCAGATAACGTTAGTCTTAACTATGTCATCTCCCAAAACACCTTTCAGTATTTCAATAAAGGAAAGATCAAGCTTAGAGATAGGTTGATCGAAACAAATGGGCAGGATGATTGCTGATAATGTGTAATCCACAGCTTCAATACACCTTAAAATATTTTTATACATCCAGAACTTTTGAAAACCTGAACGTTGGATTGACGACAGGAAACAGGTGACGGTAGAGAAAATCTGATCTTTGCTTTCAATCCTGTTGACTGCGATTGGTTCTTCAACTGACGGTTCTACTAAATCAACTTTCTTGAGAACTGATCGAACGACTTGGTTTAGATTAGCTACATTTTCACTAAATATTAGGAAATTGTTTTTGATCTTCTCCTTTGGTTTTTCCACCTGTTCAAATAAAAAAAATTGTTTTCATTGAGCTGCAAGTGTTTTATGTTTCAAATCCTAGTATACAAGACGACCTGGTCTCATAAGCAGGGATAAATTTATTTTAAAAAGCCATTTATAAATAGCTTACGTGATAAGTTGGAACCTTAAAATAAATCTATATTAATCAGAAAACAATATTCTTTTTCTTAAAGGTAAAATTAAAATCATGAATTCGAATATTTGGTATTTACTTACTAAACTTGGCATCATGTTTGTGTTTATGTTACTATAAACTGATATTTACTTACTAAACTTGGCATCATGTTTGTGTTTATGTTACTATAATCTGATATTTACTTACTAAACTTGTCATCAGGTTTGTGTTTATGTTACTATAATCTGATATTTACTTACTAAACTTGGCATCATGTTTGTGTTTATGTTACTATAATCTGATATTTACTTACTAAACTTGGCATCATGTTTGTGTTTATGTTACTATATTTACTTACTAAACTTGCCATCAGGTTTGTGTTCTCTGGATTCGGCTTGTTCACATGTTCAGTTTTTGGTTTTGCTAAACCTTCTGTGGAGACGTTTCTGGCTGAAACAAACAACAGTATTTGGTCAGGAGACAAAATATCCAAACACAAGGCAAAATATTTTCTCGCTCTCCAATGTATATAGCGTTAAGAAGTGGTCAGACCGCACCGGGTGACACAAAGGCAAGCAATTAAAACATTTCCAAAAAAAAAAATTTTGCCAGTTTTTTAACGGTTAATTAGAGTTAAATAATCCATTAAGTAAAAAATTGACGCTAGTCACCAGGGGGGGGGGGGCGGGTTGTCAGCATGACTATAGGTAAACAATGCTACGTCCGGCTATAACCCACAATAAACATGCATCGTTACTATAAACTGTGCACAGTTTGAAGCTGTCAGGTGGTAATTAGGGGGTGGGTTGGGGCGGGGGAGGGTAGTGACAAAATTAATATAGCAAAACAATTTTTTGAATATTTTAATAGCTCATTAGCAATTCAAAGTGTGGGATGACACCACATGTAATATATAACTATAAAAAGGGTGAACTTTGCCACTTCAGTTGAGTAGAGGATTATTATCGTTATACAGCAACGAGTCATAGTCACTTACAATAGTTTTGGGGTGTTTCCACTTGTATATATATATATATATATATATATATATATATATATATATATATATATATATATATATATATATATATATATATATTCAATTGATACGCCTAATAATAATTTTATTTATTTATGTATTTATTTATTTAAATTTATTTATTTATTTATCTATTTGTATATTTTTTTTAAATTAATTAACTAATTTATCAATTAATTAATTCTTTTATTCATGTATTCATTCATTCATTCATCTAATTATATATCTAAGACATACGTTCGTTCTTTACGTTGGTTTCATCGGGTTCAGTTTTAGGTTCAAATTTGTTATTTGCTTCTTTACCGTCAGATTCTGAAATTTAAACTTGTATAGGCATTTTAAAAAGGTGTAGGCCTATATGTTCATTAATATATAATAAAATAAACATAAATTCTTAAATATGTATATACGATATAGATTATTTTGCATCTGTATCTGCGTCCGTACTTGTATCTTTATTTGTATGTTTAATTATATCTGTATATCTATGTATATCTATATTCTTATTTATATATTATATACACCTATATCTGCATCTAGCTATATAATATATTTAATGTACCGGCGTCGTTTGATTTATCCTGCGGTTGACTTTTAGTTTCGTATATTGGATTGGTTCGTATACTTTTAGGTTCGTATATTGGATTGGTTCGTATACTTTTAGGTTCGTATATTGGATTGGTTTTTTGACGTTCAGGCTCTGTGTAAACGAAACATTAGTTAAAAATTTAATATGTCTGTATAAAATATTGGACACATTTAGTCACTTAGACACACAAGAGGACACACACGTAAACATATATATATATATATATATATATATATATATATATATATATATATATATATATATATATATATATATATATATATATATATATATATACGATATAAGTGTGGTTGTGTGGCAAAGGGTTAGCCCGACCAATATCGCTTTGCTTGTCGGCGGTATATACTCCTAGTCTAGAAACAACTTTAACGTACGTGTCAGAACAGGCTCAGTCTTGAAGGAAAATATTGTTTGACTCTGTTGAACTACAGGCTCTGGAAAATAAAAATTGCCGTTAATTATTTGATCAAACGTTTGCTAATGTATCAGCTATGCATGCTTAATGCACAATTCTGGCAATATCAGAAAACTGTAGACCTTATGGACTCAGAAGTTGAACACATTTGAAATTAAAATTTTGCCAGAATTGTGAAAGCAAAAAAGAAATTTTAAATACAATTGATGAAATTATGATTTTGTTTCAAAGAAATTACTGTTGTGTTGAGAGATGGCGTCCATCAGATCTTGAAGATTTTTACTTAATACTGTCGTTGTTTCTGGTTTCTTTTCTAAATAAAAATAAATAAAGTGACATCAATATTATATGTTTGTTACAACACCTTATATCTATATTTTCAGGTCTACTGATTTTTAAATATCTTATATACTGTAGAATATAAATATATAAATATGTATATTAACCTATATATATATATATATATATATATATATATATATATATATATATATATATATATATATATATATATATGTACGTATATATATAATTTGTGAGCGCTATCATGTTTTAGTAGCCTACATGAATACCGTTTACATATGTGTGCTTACATTAGTAGATTATTTGAATACCGTTTACATACCTGTCATTACATTAGTAGATTACATGAATACCGATTACATACCTGTGATTGCATTAGCCTCTCGTTTTTCTTTCTCTAGTCTATCAATTTTCCATTTTTGATTCCGATTTTCAATTAAAAGATTTCCTTTATGAAAATAGCAGTTAAAAATCCCCAGTTAATATCAATACGATATTTACTGTATTTATTTATTTATTTATTCTACCTATTTTAAACTCCTAAACTGAGCACAATATAATCTACTAGAACTTTCTTTTAAAGTTGTACTCAAAGATATTTAAACCCCGAAGTACGTACGATTTTCATTTTCGAGGTCTGCGTATTTCTTTTGTAGTTGTAAAAACTTCTGCATCAGATTTTCTGTCGATGGTTCATAAAAAAATGACAATAAAGAAAATGGCTGACAGAGGCACGTGCTAATGTTACTTTTGAAAGGACAGATGAATTTAAAATTGTTTTGTAACGGTGTAGCTCATGAAAAATCAATAAAAGTAAACTTTTGTATTTGAAATAAATTAACTAAGTGCAGTAGCTTTTAAAAGTAACACTTTAAAACGTATGAAACTGAGGCACTGAAGATTAAAACGAAGGATGCATGTTCTCATTAACATCTTGAGATTTTAAAATATTTTGTTAATTAATGTCTCTCTCTCTATCTCTCTCTCTAATGACAGCAGTCTTAATGAACTGCTAACAATGTTTGTGTGACTTAAGCATCCTATGTAGCTGCAGGTGAATTTAGTTTCTGTATCAACTGACCATGATCCGCCTGTTTCCCCTCTAACTGCTTGATTTCTTGACTCTGAATGTCATGTTCTATCTGTAAGAGGGCTGTAAGAACAATATTTATGTCAAATTGTTTACTACATTACATCAGTTCTAAGTTTGTGGAAAAATATTTTCTGTTGATTAATTCAATAATATGAACACAGTACATCTACAGTACAACAAGAAAATGGTTATCATGATAATATTCTTAGCTTGCCCCTACACCTTACTTTTTTCGTTTGTGATTCTTTCGTTATGTTTGTTTGAAGATTCTAATTCGTCTTGCAATTTTTCTGTAAATATTAACAACAAGCACATTTTTTTAAAAATTATGGTAGAACAATTTAAAGTCTGTAAGTCAAGTCACTATTTAAATTTCATTAACAACGTTATTTAAGTACAACAATCACAGCGATGAACTTACTGTAAAGTGTTTCCAGGTTGTCATATTTGTTTTGTAATTCTTCAAGCTGTCGTCTTAGTTGATCTAAACGGATGCAAATGTTTTTAATGAATATTTCATAATATTTTTAATAGAATGAATAATGTGTTTATTCGAAATACATCTTTACAAAGCCTCACATTGAACTGTCTATGTAAGGTGTATAAGGCAACAGGGAGAAGGCAGAGATATCAAAGACAACGTGGATAAAGGACAGACTTTAACCTCAGCACCCCACTACCTCAGCACCCCACTACCTCACCACCCCACTACCTCACTAGCTAACCACCCCACTGTCTCACCAACCTACCACCCCACTACCTCACCACCCCTTTACCTCACTACCCCACTACCTCACTACCCCACTACCTCACCACCCCACTACCTCACCACCCCACTACCTCACCACCCCACTACCTCACTACCTCACCACCCCATTATCTCACTACCTCACCACCCCACTACCTCACTACCTCACCACCCAACTACGTCACCACCCCATTACCTCACTACTTCACCACCCCACTTCCTCACCACCCCACTAACTCACCACCCCACTAACACACCACCCCACTAACACACCACCCCACTAACTCACTACCCCACCACCCCACTACCTCACCACCCCACTACCTCACCACCCCACTACCTCACCACTCCACTACTTCACCACCCCACTACCTCACTACCTCACCACCCCATTACCTCACCACCCCACTACCTCACCACCCCACCACCTCACTACCTCACCACCCCACTACCTCACCACCCCACTAACTCACCAACCTACAAACCCACTACCTCACCACCCCACCACCCCACTACCTCACCACCCCACTACCTCACCACCCCACTACCTCACCACCCCACTACCTCAGCACCCCACTACCTCACCACCGCACTACCTCACCACCGCACTACCTCACCACACCACTACCTCACCACCCCACTACCTCACCACCCCACTACCTCACCATCCAACTACCTCACCAACCCACTACCTCACCACCCCACTACATCACCACCCCACTACATCACCACCCCACTACATCACCACCCCACCACCTCACTACCTCACTACCTCACCACCCCACTATCCCACCACCCCACTACCTCACCACCCCACTACCTCACCACCCCACTACCTCACTACCCCACTACCTCACAACCCCATTACCTCACCGCCCCGCTAACTCACCAACCTACCACCTCACTTCCTCACCACCCCACTACCTCACCACCCCACTACCTCACTACCCCACTACCTCACCACCCCACTAACTCACCACCTCACTACCTCACCTCCTCACTACCTCACCTTCCACTACCTCACCTTCCACTACCTCACCACCCCACTACCTCACCACCCCACTACCTCACCACCCCACTACCTCACCACCCCACTACCTCACCACCCCACTACCTCACTACCTCACCACCTCACTACCTCACTACCCCACTACCTCACTACCCCATTACCTCATCACCGCATTACCTCACCACCCCAATACCTTACTACCCCTCTACCCCTCTACCTCACTACATCACCACCCCATTACCTCACTACCTCACCACCCTACTACCCCACTACCTCACTACTTCATCACCCCACTAACTCACCAACCTACCACCCCACTACCTCACTACCCCAATAACTCACTACCTCACCACCCCATCACACTACCTCACCACCTCACTACCTCACTACCTCACCACACTACTAACTCACCAACCTACCACCACACTACCTCACTACACCAATACCTCACAACCGCACCACCCCATTACCTCACTACCTCACCACCCCACTACCCCACTACCCCACTACCTCACTAACTCACCACCCCACTAACTCACCAACCTACCACCCCACTACCCCACTACCTCACTACGTCACCAACCAACTACCTCACCGTCCCACTAACGCACAACCCCACTACCTCACTACCTCACCACCCAATTACCTCACTACCTCAACATCCCACTACCCCACTACCTCACTACCTCACCACCTCACAAACTCATCAGCCTACCACCCCACTACCTCACTACCCCACTACCTCACCACCCCATTACCTTACTACCTCACCACCCCATTACCTCACCACCCCACTACCTCACCACCCCACTACCTCAACACCCCACTAACTCACCAACCTACCACCCCACTACCTCACTACCTCACCACCCCACTACCTCACCACCCCACTACCTCACCATCCCACTACCTCACCACCCCACTACCTCACCACCCCACTACATCACCACCCCACTACATTACCACCCCACTACATCACCACCCCACCACCTCACTACCTCACCACCCCACTACCTCACAACCCCACTACCTCACCACCCCACTACCTCACCACCCCACTACCTCACTACCCCACTACCTCACCACCCCACTACCTCAACACCCCACTAACTCACCAACCTACCACCCCACTACCTCACTACCTCACCACCCCACTACCTCACCACCCCACTACCTCACCATCCCACTACCTCACCACCCCACTACCTCACCACCCCACTACATCACCACCCCACTACATTACCACCCCACTACATCACCACCCCACCACCTCACTACCTCACTACCTCACCACCCCACTACCTCACAACCCCACTACCTCACTACCCCACTACCTCACCACCCCACTACCTCACCGCCCCGCTAACTCACCAACCTACCACCTCACTGCCTCACCACCCCACTACCTCACTACCCCACTACTTCACCGCCCCACTACCTCACCACCACACTACCTCACCGCCCCACTACCTCACCACCACACTACCTCACCACCCCACTAACTCACCACCTCACTACCTCACCACCTCACTACCTCACCTTCCACTACCTCACCTTCCACTACCTCACCACCCCACTACCTCACCACCCCACTACCTCACCACACCACTACCTCACCACACCACTACCTCACTACCCCACTACCTCACCACCTCACTACCCCACTACCTCACTACCCCATTACCTCATCACCTCACCACCTCACTACCTCACCACCCCACCAACTCACTACCTCACCACCCCACTACCTCACCACCCCACTACCTCACCACCCAACTACCTCACCACCCCACTAACTCACTACCTCACCACCCCACTACCTCAATACCCCACTAACTCACCATCCCACTACCTCACCACCCCACTACATCACTACCCCACTACCTCACCACCCCACTACCTCACTACCCCACTACCTCACCACCCCACTACCTCACCACCCCACTAACTCACCACCCCACTAACTCACCACCTCACTAACTCACCACCTCACTACCTCACCACCCCACTACCTCACCACCCCACTAACTCACCACCCCACTACCTCACCACCTCATTATCTCACCACCCCACTACCTCACTACCCCACTACCTCACTACCCCATCACCTCACCACCCCACTTTTTCACCACCCCACTACCTCACCACCCCACTTCCTCACTACCTCACCACCTCACTACATCACCACCCCACTACCTCACCACCCCACTACCTTACCACCCCACTACCGCACCCCGTCATCCGGAGTCTCTCAGAACTAAATGTCCAGTAGCATCAAGCAATGCCAGAACATCGGCCCTCGTGTGGACTGGCACCAGTGGCCTTTAATCACGTTATTTGAAGGTTGCCTCACCTCGATGACATACAACGGTAACCATATTGTCGGTTCTGTAGTTTGTCGGCCTTATGGTATATCGGCGTTATGGTTGGCAGGCATCATGGTATGTACGCCTTGTTTTCAGTAGACCTTATAGTTTGTGTGATAGGTGGATCACATGTTCGCCTTATATACAACACTCTTACATGTGTGTGTAAGTGTGTGTGAGAGAGTGAGAGTGTCTGTGTGAGAGAGAGAGAGCGTACATTGAGATATGTTAAATGATTTCAGATCACTAAGATTTACTTGTTAAAGTACTTACTGTTCTGTTCTTTTAGAATGTCCATGTTTTTTAATTCTGTAAGTTGAATATCTATTTCTATTTGAAGATTACCTTAAAATTGTTTTGAAAATAACATCGTTTATATCGATTTTTTTTTCTAAATGAAATAACTGACTCTATTGCATATAAGTATACACATATTTATGCATAAGTAGGGATATATATATATATATATATATATATATATATATATATATATATATATATATATATATATATATATATATTTGCTTTCTATGCAAATAGATTATAAATAAAAGGGTAAAAAATCGTTTATCATAGTTGCGATTAATATTTTTGCACGAATATAATATATCATTTATATTCAGAATTCGTTAAATAAGTGAGGTGTAAAACGGCGAAAACGGTCATAATATCATAAATATTCAACACAATTAACATAATTAACGTATTCTGTCTGAACGAGAAATTAAAAATAAGTTTTGAAAAAACCCAATAATAAACATTTCTCTGATTTCACCGTAGACAGTTTTCTAAAAAGTCTAGATGAGATAACTCACGCTCGATTTATTTTAATGTTGCTGCTTACATTTTTGAGTCTCGAGTGATTCCGCTTTTTCTTTGTATTTCTGCAGTTCATCGATTAAAAACGCTGTTCAAAGTAATGGTAAAAAGATGTTACAGTACACAGACACACAGACGCACAAAAAAACAACAGATATACATATTTTCGTAGTTGTATATATATATGTATATATATATATATATATATATATATATATATATATATATATATATATATATATATATAATGTATATAATGTATATTTGTACATGTACGCATCTAATGATAATTACATTAACCTAGGTATCAATAATGAAGTGGTGTCCGCGTGGTCGGGTCGGTAGAGCTATAGGCTGCTAAATACGATTGGCATCAATATCCCTCTCTCTCCGTGTGTGCACTCTGTCTTGATCTTTCTCAATCTAATTTTTTGTTTTCATGTAACTTAATTTAATTACAGGTTTTAAGCCGTACTAAATAGACGCTTTTGTTCGCTTTATTGCAAAACCATTTCGGGGAATCAGGCTTTTAAATAGGTCACCAGCTTCTTGTTTTTTGTACTTGCCAGCTAGTATTTTTCAAACCAAATGCCAATTGTTTTGTTAAATAGGTTTGAGAAATTTGAAATGTTACTGCCGCTATTGTTATTTTATGTAAAATCCTAAACAATCCGAATGATATACCACACGTTGTAGGCTAGCTTTAAAAAACTGACTTTTTTAAAAGATGCGTACGGTTAAATATAATTTTTTTCGATTCCGTAAAAAGTTGTCCAAAATGCAATTACATTATTAATAAAATATTAATATTCTAGGCCTACAAGTAAGTTATTTGATTCTATTATCAGTCAAACAAATTATAATTTATGCATCTGGGTATTTTAAAGTATTGAAGACATGTCTACAAACAAACAACCGCCAAGTTTGTTTTTTTGACAACGGGATCATTTTTAAATTAATTAATTTAGTTCGCTAATGAAACTGTCCATGGCTAATGAGACTAATTATGTATTGCTGGCTGGTTAAAAATATTTTTTTACCAAACAATTAACGAGGTCAGCTCAAACAACATTACACACACACACCCACCCATATATATATATATATATATATATATATATATATATATATATATATATATATATATATATATATATATATATATATATATATATATATATATATATATCAACATCGCGCAAAATATATAACACAACAACTCACGCCAAATTAAAGAGCTAACGAGTAAATTAAAAGAAGTTCTAGGAGAGTTTTCTTGACTTACATTTTTCTTTATCCAGCAATTCTGCTCTATCTTTGTATCTCTTTAATTCATCACTCAAAAACACTGGTGAAAGTCATTGTTAATAAAATCAAGACACACGTACAGACACTTTCACAGACACACAGTCACAGACACACAGTCACAAACACACAGACAGACACACACACACAGTCACACCACTTTCCCTCACATTCTCTGAAGATTCTATTTTTTATATATCTATATGTCCTGGTTAACGTCTGTAGAACAGTAACCGTTTGACAGCGTCCGTCAGTACATCGACCTTGTGTCGTGGCCAGTGAATCAACACGATTTGATACGCTACTATACCGCTTATATCTGAAGAAATCAACCAAACTTATATATGAAGAAATCTACCAAATTTATATCTCAAGAAATCTACCAAATTTATATATAACGAAATCTACCAAACTTATATCTGAAGAAATCTACCAAATTTATATTTAACGAAATCTACCAAACTTATATCTGAAGAAATCTACCAAATTTATATATAACGAAATCGACCAAACTTATATCTGAAGAAATCTACCAAATTTATATATAACGAAATCTACCAAACTTATATCTGAAGAAATCTACCAAATTTATATATAACGAAATCGACCAAACTTATATAATTATGAAGAAATCTACCAAACTTATATCTGAAGAAATCTACCAAATCTATATCTGAAGAAATCTACCAAACTTATATCTGAAGATATCTACCAAACTTATATCTGAAGAAATCTACCAAACGTATATCTGAAGAAATCTACCAAACGCCCAATAGAAATCTAAATCTATAATAGGCCACGGTCGCACTTCTCTCTCTCTCTCTCTCTGTCCGCAAAATATTTTCGCCGGACATCACATCAGAATCTACAGCGATATATCGAGAACTTTTTACGGACTTTAGTTGAAAATAATATGTTAGATGTTTTAAATGTATAACCACAATTTTATTTAAAGAAGAAAAATATAAAATAAAGGCGTATTCAACTGTAGAAAAACAATTTTATTTATGCAACCGGAAAAGAATTTATAGATGTGAAAAAGAACGCATAAAACTGTGACGTCACTAATGTTTATACATTAACTAATGACGTCATCTGCCGTGTTTAAAATAAAAAGAAATTAACTATTTCATTCAAATTTGATTTAGATCTACGTACACTATGAAATGTATACAATACAATTTTTCCTCATTCAAATTTGATTTAGATCTACGTACACTATGAAATGTATACAATACAATTTTTCCGGCCTAAGCTCATAAAATTTATGTTATTTAATTGGATTCTAGATCTAGAGGTTCTAGATCTAGACTAGATCTAAATCTACGCAATAACTAGACGTAGACGCTAAGATCTAGATTTAGACTCTAACTTCTCTAGAATCTATTCCAAGACTTAATTATTTTATAAAAAAATCTTTGTTTGGAACTGGCTAATTTGGGATAAAAGAAATCAATTTGAAAGAATAGGCATATATAGGGGGGGGGTTATGGTCAGTGTTTCTTCCAGACTTTTTTCTCCCGGGGGGGGGGGCACTTGAAATTTTCGGGGGGGGGGGGGGGGGGGCGGTAGACTTTCTTCGGGGGGTCGGACACTGTTAAAAGTATATATTTTCTATATAAATTATATAAATTTCGTTCGGGGGGGGGGGCGGTAAAAATTTTTCGGGGGGGGGGGGGGGGGGAGGGGCTTTGAATCTATTCAAACAATACATTTCTATACTAAAGTATTTCAGGCCTTAATTACTTTATTGAAATCTTTGTTTATCTATGCAATTTGCTAATCTCTATAATATATAAAGCAAAGTTGTCGGGTGTCCGATAGGGCACTTTCCGGCGCCGCAGGCGCTTCAAATTTAGCAGGATCTTGCCTTGGGGCGACAGAACACGGGGGCCGGTTGGCCGAAAAGTCTACGATGAGGGGGTCAAAACTGACCTCAACTGACCGGCGCCTTATATGGGCCAATTAATTAAGCATTCAAATCCTCAATGTTTTCGAAAGCCTAAGCGAAGCTGGGCAGCATGCCTGGTTAATTTTAAACAGCCTGCGCAAATGGATGCAAACAATATCGGTCCATTTCAAAAATAAAAATGAATTTCCCAAATATACTTGAGATTTATATTTCCTAAGTGTAGGATCAATAGATACAAATTCTTGAAATAATATAAGGATGAAATACATATTACACACAGATTACACACAGATTACACACAGATTACACAATACATTATATTCTTACAGTTTCTGTGAAACAAGTGATTCAACTGTTTTTCGTGGCTAGTCAATTTTGTGTTTTCCTTCAATCTTTCTTCTGAAATATTAGACCATGTTATGTGAAAGATATTCCCTAGAACTCTTTAGACAATTCAAATATTTATCTTTAAAAAAAATCATTAACTTAATGCACGTGATACAAGCAGTAGCGAGAATAATTGCCGTGAAGGGAAAGTTAGAACCACCCCCCCCCCCCACCCCCCAACCAGGCACCATTGTGTTATGATAAATTAAAGCTACATTTGATGGTGTTTTCAGTTTCTTGAAATGTTGCACTTCATCGTTGGTGCATGAGTTGGCACGTCATATTGGTCAGTAGTTAGGTTTGGTGCATGAGTTATGACGTCATATTGGTCAGTAATTAGGTTTGGTGCATGAGTTGTGACGTCATATTGGTCAGTAGTTAGGTTTGGTGCATGAGTTATGACGTCATATTGGCCAGTAGTTAGGTTTGGTGCAGGAAGGTGAAGCAACAACCACCCCCAGTTGGCTACAGGAATGGCTTTCTTCGGTGCTAGAGATGGGGGGGGGGGGGGAAGGTGTGGTCAGCACTATGTCCAGCCATCTTTACTTTCCCTAACATGAGCACCCATCATAGCTGGGGGGAAGGTGTGGTCAGCACTATGTCCAGCCATCTTTACTTTCCCTAACATGAGCACCGATCACAGCTGGTTGGACTAAGGGGAGTTCTACTGACACTAACCGGGATTCGAACTCGAGACTTAACTTCCAAGAAAGTAAAACAATCCCCTCTATACATACAGCTACACATTTCATCGATAAAAGAAACGACCTGCTATGTTAGTCTGATGATCTAGTTCTTTTCTCAAGTGTAAAATCTCTTCAAGTTGTCGGGCTGAAGTCAAATATGGGTTTTATTACAATTAGTATATATGTACACACACATACACATACATACACATACACGTACATATATATTTACTTTTTTCACATGTTTATATAAGGTAATCTTACTTACTTTATTTCACATATTCATATAAGATAATCTTACTTACTTTATTTCACATGTTCATATAAGATAATCTTACTTACTAATTTCACTTGTCTTTTTCGTGATTTCATCAGATTTATTTTGAATTAATTCCGAGAGTTTAACTGGAGTGAATGTTTTGAATTAAGAAACACACACACACACGCACACACACATATATAAAGATATATGCGTGTCTGTGTATGTGTTTTTATATTTATTTATTTATATAAACATATACAATTCATGCACTACATCGATAAGTGTTGAATATATTTCTCACCAACTGATTCTCGTGTTAGCTGTCAATAACATTATAAGAAAATGTCACGGTAACATTTAAAAGCAGATGTATGTAAAATAGATATATGTAAAATAGATGTATGTAGAATAGATGTATGTAGAATAGATGTATGTAAATAGATGGTTTTTAATACTTATCTCGCTATAATAAGATTATTTTTAAGAATTTAAAGATGCTACATTCACCTCCTATAAATAAAACATATTTAACAGGCAGTGGCGGAACTAGAAAAAAAAGGGCCACCCCCCAAAAATTTTTGTTAGGCCCCGCCACCCCCATATATATAAATATATAGGCCTATAAATGTATATATATATATATATATATATATATATATATATATATATATATATATATATATATATATATATATATATATATATATATATATATATATATATATACAAACACAAAATACGAACATAGGATACTCATTGCTGGCCTGTTCGGGTTTTGAAAAGAAAGTTGTTTTTTTTCAATTTAAACAAATAACAAAATCATGTCATATGTGTAGGCCTACGTATATTAGTGTGTTTTGTGAAAATAAGTTTTATTTTATCTCTGCTATAGATCCTTTAAAGCAGGGGCTCCCAACCTTTTTTACTCTAGAGCACATTCTAAAATATCGGTAGGGTGGCGGGCACCACCTATTTCAAATCGACAAACTCCTTCTATAACTTGTCATTTTCCCATAATTTATTTTCTTATTTTCTTGTAGTCATAATGTATTAATAAATAATAAACAAAAATGTTTCAAAATAATAAAATTATTTGGCATTTTTTCAAATTGCATACACACAGAGAAATATATTTACAAAACGTAAATATTGCAGTTGCTCGCCGCTAGACAAGTTGGGACAAGTATCGAACATATTTAATAAACCTAGGCATTCAAAAAAAAAAAATGTAAGAAATGAATAAAAATAAATCATATTTTAAAATTATGTTTATGCAAAAAATTCTGTCTCTGTCGAATAGTGAGAGGCGGGCACAAACAAATCGTTCAGCGGACGCCCGCGGGCACAGGGTTGGGAACCCCTGCTTCAATGATCTGGTAGGCCTAAAGATTATAAAACATAAAAGCTTTGTAGAAGTACTGGTGTCTCGTGTTATGATTAGTTTTATGGGTTTTTTTGTATTTTTATTATTAATTTTAAATACATTTCCTTTTTATACAATGTCATTCTTTAGTAAATATTTATATAAACAAAAATAATTAAGAGAAGTAATTGCTTTTTAATTTGTTTAGTACAAATCTGTTAAAAAGAGCCTATGAGCACCCCTATTTGACTATTTAAAAAAGGGAAATAAGTCATGTTTGCTTATCTTTGCTAAGTTTAATTGTAGGTGAAAAAGGACTCGGCTTTCACTGTGGTTTTAAAAAAGGGAAAAGAATATACAAGAGCGTGGGTTGGTGTCTATAGAATAAAGATAATCCAACCGCAGCTACGGTAATCGTTTTACAAAACAAACATCAAGTCAAAAATGCAAGAAAATTTTTTTTTTTTAAACTATTAAAAAAAAATTACTATGGTCGGCTGTGGCCCCCTAAATGGCGTGCCCACCCCCCCCCCCCCCACATTGCGGGGTCTGGTGGCACTGTAGTTCCGCCCCTGGTACCAGGTGACATTTAATTTTTTAAAATATCCAAACCAAATATTGTTAAATCACTTAACTGATAATTTATTTTTTATTAACCTTTTAACTGCACTAAGTGCGTTAAACAATAAATTTATTCTTCAAATGGCCGTTAGATTTAACTCTGTGAAATGAAGATCCGTGGTGTTAATGTTTGGTGTTAGTTGCGTTATGTCTCGTTAGTTAATGCCCTTTGTATTATGTTTATATATCCTGCTTATGTCCCTTGAGTGTACTGATGCAGGAACTAACCCTAGTGCCAGTGGTGCCCACTAGTAGTTCATCAGGATAGGCTTTCAGAAAGGAGACTTATTCATTAGTACAAATTCTTACATGAATAAAAACTCTGACATAAAAAAAAAACTCTTTCATAAATGCTAAATTCTTACATGAATAAAAACTCTTACATAAATAAAAACTCTTTCATAAATACAAATTCTTACATGAATAAAAACTCTTACATAAATAAAAATTCTCTCATAAATAAAAATTCTTACATAAATAAAAATTGTGACATAAATAAAATTCTTACATAAATAAAAATTCCGACATAAAAAAAAATTTTGACATAAATAAAAATTCTTACATCAAAAAAAATTCTTACATTTTTCAGATTCGAGCCTGGAGATGGTTTGTTTCAAACGATTGATTTCGTCAATGAGGTTCACTTGCAAATAGAGGATTGAAAGGTTATGGTTAATAATAGGTACAATTAAACATCTACTGCAAGAACTATCTCATTAATAATTAAAATTGAAGAGCTTTCATGCTTTCGTAACTCAGACATTCAGTAGTGACGTCACATTGTTGTGAAAATTAAACCAAGCAGTCATTATTTTCTCTAGCATGACTTGTTAACAAATTAAAATAATTTATATTAGAAGTATGGTATTTTTTCAAATAAACGTATAAAATTAAACCTTTTTAAAAATTTATTATCTAAAATATGTTGAAACTTATTTATCACAAAAAATAATATTTTTGGACTGAATTACTTATAGCACTAATGCTCTCAATTAGAAGAAACAGTACCATTGTTGGATGTATCCTTTAACTGGACAGTCTGCTTTAGTTTTCTGTTTTCTTCTTTCATGCTGGCTAAACATATATATATATATATATATATATATATATATATATATATATATATATATATATATATATATATATATATATATAGTGAGTGTGAGGTGTATGTATGTGTTTGGTATACTTATCGTATATAGTTGTTTTTTTTTAAATACATAACTTTTTTCAAAAGAAGCCTTAAACCAACTACAACGTTATACAATACACTCAGCATATGTTACCATTTTGTTTTTCCAATATCAATAGTTTTGCCTTCAACTGCATCAATTCTTCTTGCAGTAATTCTGTTAGATGAAACAATAAATATTTTAGATTCTACTCATATTTATTAATTAATAAATATTTACAAAATATATTCTATAAATAGGACAATAAATTGTGAATTTAAAATTTATATTACCGTAGTTTCCAAAAATGTATATTACCGTAGTTTCCAAAAATTTATATTACCGTAATTTCCAAAAATGTATATTACCGTAGTTTCCAAAAATGTATATTACCGTAGTTTCCAAAAAATTATATTACCGTAATTTCCAAAATTTATATTACCGTAGTTTCCAAAAAATTATATTACCGTAATTTCCAAAAATGTATATTACCGTAGTTTCCAAAAATGTATATTACCGTAGTTTCCAAAAATGTATATTACCGTAGTTTCCAAAAAATTATATTACCGTAGTTTCCAGAGAATGTCCTGTTTATGTCCAGAATTTTTTCATTTAAAGATTTGTTTTTTTCTGCTATTTTTACTAAAAAAATAAAATAAAAACTTACAAATACTCAATCTTTTTTATACATACATACACACTACTATGCATATACAACTATTATACATACAATAAGACTCGTACAAATTAAATGTTTACGCATAGACATTCTTGTATATATATATATATATATATATATATATATATATATATATATATATATATATGTGTGTGTGTGTGTGTGTGTGTTTGTGTGTTTGTGTGTTTGTGTGTCTGTGTGTGTTTTCATCCTCTAGAAATTACCTCTGTCTCTATTCCTTTGACTCAACTCATATTTTAGATTTTCAATTGTTAAGGTCAAACTTACTGAAATAAAAAATAAAAACTGTCTACATATTTTATTCAAAAGAAAAAGTAAAAGCGTGTGGAAAAGAAAGTCATTTCATTCGTTTCTAAACATTAAAAGAAATTGAATTAAAAAACCCAACAAAACAGATACAACAGCAAAAGAAATAGACAAAGAAATATTTAAAAATTAAAAAAATAAATCTAATTAGTTCCGGCTTTACTCCGGAAGTGATACGTACTTTACTTCCGGTCTCCTGAAAGCTGATAACTTAAGAAACATTACAGCTCGGTAGACAACACTTTTAATATACGTATTGGGGATCCCAGAAAAAGGCGCAATCAGAAACTGCGCTAATACAAAATAATTATACTAATACACTTTTTAATTTTGTCATAATTTGAGGAAATCTGATTTATTAAGTTACAATGTACATTTTTGTTAATTTCTATCAATGCCCTTCGCAGTTTTTCGTTGCACATCTTTCCAGTCACCACGTACTAGATTGTATTTCGGAGTTTCTTTATAAGTATACATTCTTACAGTTGGATAACTACAAATTTTCCGATATCATTAAATGGTATTTTACCTTAATTCCTGTTACTAAAATACAGATGACATTTGTAGTGTTTTGATCAACGAAAATTTATAAGTTCTTATTTTTTTTATTCTGATACATTTTGAGGCATTCCCGGTGACCTGAAGTACTTCTTTACGGTATATCCGGTTTCTTAAAAATATGCTTTCTACCGAACTGATTTATTTCAAACTTTGCAGTTGTCCTGCTTGTCCTACATGTCCTACTTGTCCTGTGGTCACTTGTCCACTCCGGTGATATATTATGTCATATGTGAAAAGCTTCTGGCCGATTGTCAGGTGCCTTACTGACGCGACGTATTCTTAACATGCTACTTCTTAGTTCTTAATTTTTGTGTTGGAAGGGATTCCCTCCAACACAATTAAGTATACGCGTCAATTGGCTCTGCGCCAATTAAACAGTTAACTGTGCTAATAGCTTCCTTTTCTTTTTGGATTACTTTAGTATCTATTGGATACCTTTACTAATATTTAGGAAGAGACCCACGCTTTTCTTTATAGTTATTTAAATAGTAGTGTATAATTTATTTTCTACTTTTTAGTGCATTATTAAATAAAAGCTTGTTATTAAAACGTTTTTTTTTGTGCATTTTTTTTATTTCTTTCATGGCCTTTGTCCAACCAAGAACAAACTACAAGGCAGCAGTTGTTTGATTTTGGAGTTGTCTCTCCTAGAAGAGTGGCTGTCCCCAGTTGTCGAGCCTCATCTACCCGAGGGTTCTAACTTGAGACGTTTCTTAACATGCTGGTATAGGCAGATTTTAACAATTACAGTAATGACTTTTGATGTGACTTTGACTTATGATGTGACTGTCTTATGATGTGACTTTGACTTATAATGTGACTTTGTCTTATGATGTGACTTTGACTTATAATGTGACTTTGTCTTATGATGTGACTTTGACTTATAATGTGACTTTGTCTTATGATGTGACTGACTTATAATGTGACTTTGACTTACCCGCCGTGTCCAATTTCTTTTTTAGCTCACAGATCTCTTCCATTAACTTGACCACTACAAACGTTTAGGGATTATAAAAATACTTTATTAGGCTAAATACAAAGTTTACGGACAAGTTAGAAAGCCATTCACACACACAGACACACAGACACACACACACGCACGCACGCACGCACGCACACACACACACATAAATATAAATTACACACACAAACACACACATATATATATATATATATATATATATATATATATATATATATATATATATATATATATATATATATATGCACACAAATACTTTGTATGTATTGATAGATATTAATAAAATTCTTACCATCGGGATCCAGTTTAAATCTGGCCAGAATTTTCAAATGTTTTTTGCTGTCCTCACACGCTTGATACTTGCCTTCCAGCCAAGCTGAAGGTTAATTTACAAGGTCAAGTTCACTCCAGGTTAAGGTCAATTACCAGAAATTGCCGCGTTTTATTACGTATCATTAACTTAAAACATGCATGAACACCTTACCGATGTGTCGTCGCAATTGAGCAATGATTTCTTTCAGATGGACAATTTCCTTTTGAAGATTGCCTTAAAAAAGGAAATGTTTTTAAAAAAAATATATATCGAGGTTTTTTTTCGTTAAATTTAGAAAAAAATTAATTATCCTACTGTAAGAGTTAGAAATTGTAGTATTGCTATTATTATTTGTTATAATCAGCATCATTTCTATGATTATTATTACACCTATTATTATTATTATTATTATTATTATTATTATTATTATTATTATTTTATATTATTATTAATACTTTTCATGTTATTATTATTTATATAATAGTTTTAGGGCTATTTTTTGACGACACTTCACTTATATGATAACATATAAAATCTAAGTTCCGCTTTGGTTTCCGACACAAATATGAACTTTAAACCGATTGGCATTGTGTGTTTGTTTGTGTGTGTGTGCGTGTGTGTGTGTGTATGTGTGTAGCACTTAGCTTAAAATGTATGGCTTGGATGCATAAAGATACATTTAGGTGCAGGTAATTGCTACTTATTCTCTCAGGCCACACTCTCCCACACTCTACCACACTCTACCACACTCTACCACACTCTACCACACTCTACCCATCTACCACACTCTACCACACTCTACCACACTCTACCACACTCTACCACACTCTACCCATCTACCACACTCTACCACACTCTACCACACTCTACCCATCTACCACACTCTACCACACTCTACCCATCTACCACACTCTACCACACTCTACCACACTCTATCACACTCTACCCATCTACCACACTCTACCACACTCTACCCATCTACCACACTCTCCCACACTCTCCCACACTCTCCCACACTCTACCACACACTAAAACACTCTATCACACTCTACCACACTACCACCAGTCTACCACACTCTACCACACTCTACCAAACTCTACCACACTCTACCCATCTACCACACTCTACCACACTCTACCACACTCTACCACACTCTACCACACTCTACCACACTACCACCAGTCTACCACACTCTACCACACTCTACCAAACTCTACCACACTCTACCCATCTACCACACTCTACCACACTCTACCACACTCTACCCACACTCTACCACACTCTACCAAACTCTAACACACTCTACCACACTCTACCACACCCTCCCACACTCTACCACACTCTACCACACTCTACCACACTTTACCACACCCTACCACATTCTACCACACTTTACCACACTCTACCACACTCTACCACACTCTACCACACTCTACCTCACTCTACCACACTCTACCAAACTCTAACACACTCTAACACACTCTACCACACTCTACCACACTCTACCAAACTCTAACACACTCTAACACACTCTACCACACTCTACCACACTCTACCAATCTACCACACTCTCCCACACTCTCCCACACTCTCCCACACTCTACCACACACTAAAACACTCTATCACACTCTACCACACTACCACCAGTCTACCACACTCTACCACACTCTACCCACACTCTACCACACTCTACCAAACTCTACCACACTCTACCCATCTACCACACTCTACCACACTCTACCACACTCTACCCACACTCTACCACACTCTACCCATCTACCACACTCTACCACACTCTACCCATCTACCACACTCTACCACACCCTACCACACTCTACCACACTCTACCAAACTCTACCCATCTACCACACTCTACCACACTCTACCACACTCTACCCATCTACCACACTCTACCACACCCTACCACACTCTACCACACTCTACCAAACTCTACCCATCTACCACACTCTACCACACTCTACCCATCTACCACACTCTACCACACTCTACCACACTCTACCACACTCTACCACACTCTACCACACTCTACCACACTCTACCACACTCTACCACACTCTACCACACTCTACCACACTCTACCACACTCTACCACACTCTATCACACTCTACCCATCTACCACACTCTACCACACTCTACCACACTCTACCACACTCTACCACACTCTACCACACTCTACCACACTCTACCACACTCTACCACACTCTACCACACTCTACCACACTCTACCACACTCTACCACACTCTACCACACTCTACCAAACTCTACCCATCTACCACACTCTACCACACTCTACCACACTCTACCACACTCTACCACACTCTACCACACTCTACCACACTCTACCCATCTACCACACTCTACCACACTCTACCACACTCTACCCATCTACCACACTCTACCACACTCTACCCATCTACCACACTCTACCACACTCTACCACACTCTATCACACTCTACCCATCTACCACACTCTACCACACTCTACCCATCTACCACACTCTCCCACACTCTCCCACACTCTCCCACACTCTACCACACACTAAAACACTCTATCACACTCTACCACACTACCACCAGTCTACCACACTCTACCACACTCTACCAAACTCTACCACACTCTACCCATCTACCACACTCTACCACACTCTACCACACTCTACCACACTCTACCACACTCTACCACACTACCACCAGTCTACCACACTCTACCACACTCTACCAAACTCTACCACACTCTACCCATCTACCACACTCTACCACACTCTACCACACTCTACCCACACTCTACCACACTCTACCAAACTCTAACACACTCTACCACACTCTACCACACCCTCCCACACTCTACCACACTCTACCACACTCTACCACACTTTACCACACCCTACCACATTCTACCACACTTTACCACACTCTACCACACTCTACCACACTCTACCACACTCTACCTCACTCTACCACACTCTACCAAACTCTAACACACTCTAACACACTCTACCACACTCTACCACACTCTACCAAACTCTAACACACTCTAACACACTCTACCACACTCTACCACACTCTACCAATCTACCACACTCTCCCACACTCTCCCACACTCTCCCACACTCTACCACACACTAAAACACTCTATCACACTCTACCACACTACCACCAGTCTACCACACTCTACCACACTCTACCCACACTCTACCACACTCTACCAAACTCTACCACACTCTACCCATCTACCACACTCTACCACACTCTACCACACTCTACCCACACTCTACCACACTCTACCCATCTACCACACTCTACCACACTCTACCACACTCTACCATCTACCACACTCTACCACACTCTACCACACTCTACCACATCTACCACACTCTACCACACTCTACCACACTCTACCACACTCTACCACACTCTACCACACTCTACCAAACTCTACCACACTCTACCACACTCTACCACACTCTACCACACTCTACCACACTCTACCACACTCTACCACACTCTACCACACTCTACCACACTCTACCACACTCTACCCACTCTACCACACTCTACCACACTCTACCACACTCTACCACACTCTACCACACTCTACCACACTCTACCACACTCTACCACACTCTACCACACTCTACCACACTCTACCACACTCTACCACACTCTACCACACTCTATCACACTCTACCCACTCTACCACACTCTACCACACTCTACCACACTCTACCACACTCTACCACACTCTACCACACTCTACCACACTCTACCACACTCTACCACACTCTACCACACTCTACCACACTCTACCACACTCTACCACACTCTACCACACTCTACCACACTCTACCACATCTACCACACTCTACCACACTCTACCAAACTCTACCCATCTACCACACTCTACCACACTCTACCACACTCTACCACACTCTACCACACTCTACCACACTCTACCCATCTACCACACTCTACCACACTCTACCACACTCTACCCATCTACCACACTCTACCACACTCTACCACACTCTACCCATCTACCACACTCTACCACACTCTACCACACTCTACCCATCTACCACACTCTACCACACTCTATCACACTCTACCACACTCTACCACACTCTACCACACTCTACCACACTCTATCACACTCTACCACACCCTCCCACACTCTACCACACTCTACCCACACTCTACCACACTCTACCACACTCTACCACACTCTACCACACTCTACCACACTCTACCACACTCTACCAAACTCTACCACACTCTACCCTTCTACCACACTCTACCACACTCTACCACACTCTACCCACACTCTACCACACTCTACCACACTCTACCACACTCTACCACACTCTACCACACTCTAACACACTCTACCACACTCTACCACACTCTACCAGACTCTACCACACTCTACCTATCTACCACACTCTACCCCACTCTACCACACTCTACCACACTCTACCAAACTCTACCGCACTCTACCACACTCTACCACACTCTACCACACTCTACCACACTCTACCACACTCTACCACACTCTACCAAACTCTACCACACTCTACCCATCTACCACACTCTACCACACTCTACCACACTCTACCCATCTACCACACTCTACCACACTCTACCACACTCTACCCATCTACCACACTCTATCACACTCTACCACACTCTACCACACTCTACCAAACTCTACCACACTCTACCCATCTACCACACTCTACCACACTCTACCACACTCTACCCATCTGCCACACTCTACCACACTCTACCACACTCTACCACACTCTACCACACTCTACCACACTCTATCACACTCTACCACACTCTACCCATCTACCACACTCTACCACACTCTACCACACTCTACCCATCTACCACACTCTACCACACTCTACCACACTCTACCCATCTACCACACTCTACCACACTCTACCACACTCTACCCATCTACCACACTCTATCACACTCTACCACACTCTACCACACTCTACCAAACTCTACCACACTCTACCCATCTACCACACGCTACCACACTCTACCACACTCTACCCATCTGCCACACTCTACCACACTCTACCACACTCTACCACACTCTACCACACTCTACCACACTCTATCACACTCTACCACACTCTACCACACTCTACCACACTCTACCCACACTCTACCACACTCTACCACACTCTACCACACT